ATTGTTACCTGTACGAGTCACTTTGCGCTCCTCTCATTGAGTTTCGTCTAAAATAGCATGGGTTTGTTAGTATCTGGACTAGTTGCTTAGGAACTAGTGTCTCTCATACGATCTCAAGGACGGCTGAAAAAATAGTAGCCGTACAATAGACAGTTGTTCGCCGTTGTCATGATGTTGAAAAAATAGGCGTAACGGCAAAATAGAATTTTAGGGGTCGATACAATTATATGTTTAAATCAGGTGGCATGATTTGCTTGCGTTAGACCTAGGGCGGCCTCCAACACCCCTCACAGCCATCCCGATCCACCACATAATCGGTTTTATTAATTATACGAATATTTCGGAGTTGACAGTCGCACATGACGCCAAACAAATGTTTTCGACGGTTTTAACTCGAGACAGATGCCATGTTAGAACATCGATAGATCCTCCGACGTGTTATACATGCATAACGCACCATATATCGTAGACCCTACTCCAAATAGCGCCGTAGCCGATGCATAGCTGACGTACGAGTGTGGTATACATGAGACGATCCGGCTTTTGAAAAAAGGGGGGGCTCTCCGAGTAAGAAATAAGCGCACTTTTCTAAAAAGGCTGCGAGGCGCAGTGATATGCGACCAATCGGCGCGGGGGGCGCCGGCTCCGCGGCGTTCCGCAGCGACGCGCAGTAAGGGCAGGCCGCCGCGACGCGGGTTGGATATGCGCGACCGCGCGGAATGGCCGCCGGCGTCGCCGCTGGCACGATTGGATATTGCTGCCGCGGGACGTGGCGGCGCGCTCCGGCCCCCGGACCGCGGAGTCCGCGGTCCTTCCTTCGCGTGATCCGTAAAGATTATGTAGAACGAATTGCGTGACATTCTGAGAGCATCCTGGAAGCCGAGTAATTTTTGATGGCTTCTAGAATGCGACACGAAACAAGATTCCAAATTTTTAAGCAGAAATTTTGAGTCTGTTTCTTGTGGCGGTTGGTTGTGTTCTATTCTTCTGTCTCTGCGTCAGTTGCGTGTGAGCAATGTCGGCCGGGGTAAAAAAGGAAGGGGCGTCCAGACCCCCGGCTAGCAGACATCCACATGCAGAAACAACTTTCATTGATACAAATACTTGCTTTTGATGCGTTAAAGAGCGTACTAATGATAATTCGTATAAAAAATAGAAAAAAATAGGAACTTGACGCCCTGCTGTATGGATAATTATCTGTATATATCACCATTCCGAATTCCGAAACGTGTCTGGTCCCCAAGGGTTTCGGATAATAGATTGTGTACTGTACTACAATCACCATTGCAAACTCTAACAACACAGTAGCACTCACACCCACACAACCTAAGCGTGTGCTTTCTTTAAAATAACTTGCCTTTTGCAATCCCACGATCCACGACCGTGATGTCTTGTGGGTGGGTGAACTCGGTAACCCTGTGTCCAGTGTTATCTCTCTATTAACGCCTTGTTGGTCAGAAAACGTGACAGTGACCATTGTTGGCTGGGAGGTTCCTAAAAAATAAGCAGAAGAAATTCACGACACTTCCAATGTTATTGGCTTACATGGCTATATGACTATATATATTGCTATATATATTGGCTATATGGCTTTATGGTCAGAGGAAATAACGAATTCCATTACAATGCCCTATCTGTTGAGTGTGGTGTCACTTAAACTCACTTTTCTTGTGTTTATATCTTCCTATGTCAGTGCTTACATAGCTACACTTAGCAGTAACTGCCACTTGCGGCAGCACTAGCTCTAATAAGGCTAGTACTAAACATATGAAGTGGACTATCCCACTGTAAAGCATTTATTATGCAAGTATTTGGTACATGAATAAACAAGGAACCAATGTTTAGAATATTGGTGTATATCATACAATTTTGTCATTTCGCCCCTCCATCACTTCTATTTAGTTTCATTTGTTTTAATTTTTATTAGCATTGTCCATTAACTTGCTTAACTAATATGTTAACTCCAAAATGTAATTCATAAGTGTAAATAAAGTAAATTGAATTGAATTGTATTGAATACAAAAATATGTGAATATATCGTAAGTTTTAGAGGAAGTAAATCAGAACTGTATGTAACAGTTAAATAACCCACAGAACAGCTAACTATAACCTATTTGCGGACACCCGTGCATGCACACGAAGACGTAAATCTGGACTGAAATGATTTAGAGGAACTTTATAATGTAATATCTTTACCTTGCATATTATTTGGGCACTTGATTTTTAGAGAAATAACCTGGTTGACGTCGATGGGCTCCAGTGTGTCTTCTGGCATGCCATCTATCTCCAAAAATCTGCGAGATTTAAAAAAGACGAGATGAGATAGAACGATAAAACATATTGTCAGGGATGCTCAATATAGGGCCAGTAGCACAACTGCACTCTGAGTTACGGGACAGCTATGTTGTATGAGAATGATTTGACCATAATTATGACAAGAAAATTTCCCATCTAAAAATGTCACTGAAATGCATTACTAAACCTTGATATCTGATATTTTCAACACTTTTGCATAATAATGCCTGTTAAAAATGTATTAACAATCATAGAGCAACTTTACATAATGCAGTGAAAATGTATATATATATATATAATTCATTTGTCATGAAAATCAGATAAAATATCAGATAATTGGCACAAACCTATAAGTGTTATAGATGTAAATTTATTATGGGATGGCAAGCACATACATACCTGTAATCAGGTGACAATTTACAGGTGACGATGAACTGGTCCATTGTCACATCACTAATCGGCAGCAACTTGAACGTACTTCCTGGAATAAAGCACAAGTAACTTTAAAGCATATCTCCCAAACTTATAGTTGGACACAACTACATATCAGTTGTGCAGAATTATAATTAACTACACTAATATTCGTGCAGATAGAGAGGAAATATCCCCTGGATTCCCCGGGATCTCCTAAAATATAGATCAGACCGATCATTCCAAGTAATATACCACATTGAATGATGTTATGCAGGAAACGAACAGAAGGTTTGTGTAGTAAAAAAAGAAGTAGGTGGTGTGATGTTCATGCATGTGTAATCCATTAGTGCAGAAGGTAAATAATACATGTGAAATAACTTGAGTATAAGCCATATAACTATAAGCACATTGTCCAAATGGCACCTGACACCTGAAATTGTCCATTCCTGCTTTTTTAGGTTTATATTGCCAAAAGCGATTATGGCAAACTGTTGTATTAAATTTCCTTGCAAGAATATCACACTTTAAATTAATGATTATAATGTTCACATACACATAATTTTTGTGTTTCTAGAACAATCTTTAACAAGTGCCGCGGAGCGACAGCGCTCATCTAACGTCTACTGCGGTGACTCTGTGGTGGAGTGGTGGGATTCTAGTAAACCCTGTTAGTCCCAAATGTGTTCACATACACGCCGAAACAGTGGAAGGCACAGGGATGGTATCAGGAACCTTCTCAAAGGAATGTTCCTTGGGATCGTTATGAAAGTTGCCACGAGATGGCGCGTACGTTTAAGTGTCTTCAGATTAAAGATGGAAGCTCCCATCGTACATAGTAGCAACAACTATTTACATGACAGAATAGGTAAAGCGACTCATCCATTTACCGTACGCAAGCCTATCAGGCTGAAATATGGAGAGCTGCTCACCTGTTAACTAATTAACGCAGGCGAAACAATCACAGTACCACCACCAATGCACTGGCAGTGCCAACTGGCAGTGGCATACGTTACATGTAACACACTGACAGATACAGAAGCCCATAAAAATATATAAGAAATTTAAGGAAGCATACAACGCTTCCTTCAACCAAATTTAGCCTTTTGAAATTTCAAACTGTGACATGTAGCCTCCATACAATGCCAGGCATGTATAGATTCTACTACACAACGCCGCAGTCAATTCTTTCTACACAGTAAACAAATACCAATGTTTTAACCCGCCCGTCTTGAGGTGCAAAAGGTTACCCGACACTTACTCCTTTTGCACTTGTCAGCGAGAAAAGTCCATTTCATGGTCCTTTCAATAAAGCCATAAAAATGCTAGTCACCGCTTGAAACAAAATAAGTTTTCCAATTCCGCTCCCGTCAGACCATGTTCCCAGAAAATGTCTAAAAATCTGCCCTGTGCCCATTGACCTTTGACCTGTGACCTCCAATTTCGGC